ATTTCTTTTTTATTTTTATTTAAAATTTTTTTTTAAATGTTGATGGACCTATATTTTATTCATTTATTTATATGTGGTGCTGAGAATAGGTCCCAGTGCCTCACACATGCTAGGTACTCTACTACTGAGCCACAACCTCAGCCCCCTATTTTCAATTTTTTTATTTTGAGACAGGGTCTTGCTAAGTTGTTTAGAACCTTGCTAAATTGCAGAGACTGGCTTTGAACTTGTGATCTTCCTGCCTCAGCCTCCCAGGCTGCTGGGATTACAGGTATGTACCTCCATGCCTGGTGCAATTCTAGTTTTCAACATAGTTTCTATAGAAAAGTTCCTGGAGAAACAACTGAAAATAACCCAAATATCTACCACATACAACTTGATATATTCATACAACAGAATAACAAATAGTAAAAATAATGAACTGTGACTATGTGCATCAAGTTTGATGAATCTCATAAATGTAATACTAGACATAAAGGGAACATTAGATATGGAACCCAAAAAGTATAAAATTTGGTAACATATTGTTCAGGAATCCGTGACATTAATAATAAAACTATAAAGGAAAACAAGAAAATGGTTAAGTGCATTTACAGACTAGAAGTTCTTTCACTGGAGAAATAAAAAATAAGTTGTGAGAGATTTGAGATTCAGGATACCTCAAAGGAGCTGGTAATGTTCTATTTCTTATTCTGGGTAACATGTATTAGAAATCTCATTTATAAGCCAGGTGTGATAGTGTGCACCTATAGTTCCAGCTTCTTGGAAGACTGGGACAGAAGGATATGTTGTTCCCTGAAGTTTAAGGCCAGCCTGGGTGATATAATGAGATCCTATCTTTTAAAAAATCTATTTTAAATTATGTGTGTGCATACTCTTCTGTAGGTGTGCATCATTTCACAATAAAAGCTTTTTTTAAAAATCAGGCTCTACACATCAATGTTTATAGCAGCTCAATTCACAATAGTTAAACTGTGGAACCAACCTAGGTGCCCTTCAATAGATGAATGGATAAAGAAACTATGGTAGATATACACAATGGAATATTACTCAGCATTGAGAGAATAAAATTATGGCATTTGCAGGTAAATGGATGGAGTTGTAGAATATCATGCTAAACGAGGTAAGTCAATCCCCAAAAAGCCAAAAACTGAATATTCTTTCTGATAATTGGATGCTGATCCACAATGGGGTGTGGGGGGGAAATGGAGGAACTTTCATTGGGCAAAGGGGAGGGAGGAGAGGGACAGGAAAGATGGTAGAATGAGATAGACACCATTACCTTAGGTACACGTATGACTGCACATATGGTGAAACTCTACATCATCTACAATCAGAGAAGTGAAAAGTTGTGCTGCAATTGTGTACAATGAATTAAAATGCATTCTGTTGTCATATTCATATATACCTAATTAGAACAAATAAATAAATAAATAAATAATCAGGCTCTAGATCTTTATTATATGAAGCCATATTTTTGCTATACTTTTCATCCTCCTGCCAGAGGATGGATAGAACAATCTATCTCTAGTAGGAGTTGAGTTTAATATAGAGGCAGAAATTGAGACAAGAAAAAAAGAGACTCAATGAAAGAGCCTTTTTATACTGAAAGTGCTTTATGGCTGAGGTCAGCATTTCTTTTCGTTTCTCTCTCTCTCTTTTTTTTGTTATATTATAGTTGTGTTATTATTTTTCACATATTTTTTGTTCTATTAAAACTTTCTTATTATAATTTTAATGGGGTTCCTACCATTGGTTGTTAAGAATTCTGACCAAAAGCCTTAAAAGAAGAAAACCCTGTCATTTGTGACAACATGGATGAACCTGGAAGATATTATACTAAGTGAAATAAACTAGGGACAAAAAGACAAATACCACATGACCCCACTCATACACAGGATCTAAAAATATCAAACACATGAATAAGAGAGTAGAATGGTATTTACCAGGGGCCTGGGTAGTGGTGGGAGGCTTGTAGGGATGTGGATGAAAGGACAGAGAAGTTCAGTTAGAAAGGAGGAATAAATCCATGAGATCTATTCTGCTACATGGTGACTATGTTACCAACAATGTATTATATTCTTGAAAATGGCTGAGAGTAGATTTAAGTGTTCTCACCAAAAATAAAAAAAAAATAAGTGAGGTAACACAGATATTTATTAATTTAATGTAGCTATTGTACAGTGTATATACAATCTCAAAACAAATATTGTATATCATAAAAGATAAAAATATTTATCAATTGAAAATATTTTTAAAAATATTCCTGAAAATTTTATGTCTACTTGTACATTCTCTCTCCCACTACACCATGAACTTTGTAAAAACAGGGAATACAGTCTCACTTGTTTATCACCAAATTCCCGGTTGCCTAAAACAACGCCTAGCATATAAATGCTTTTCACATATTTGTTGAATGAATAATAAACTACTTAAAATTTCACTTCTGACAGTTTTGTAATTTTCTATTTGTTGGTGTATCCACCATTAAATATGATGGCATCATTATATCACTAGTATCCAGCCAAATGCCTAGCAAAATGCTCAATAAATTAAATAAATATCAAATAGACACATAGAAACAATATTTTTCTCTGCAATGCAATCTTTACTTCAATCTCCTTCATTTGAAAGTCAGAGCAAATAACCTTCTGAATTAATTTGATCTTTATATTCATCTGCTTAATATCTTGCAGCAGACAATTCTTTCTCTTTTCTTTCTCCTCCAGCCTCCCAAGATGCCAAAAGGAAGAAGGCCAAGGGGAAAAAGGTGGCCCAGGCCTCCACCCTGGTCAAAAAGCAGAAAGCCAAGAAGGTGGTGAACCCACTATTGGAGAAGAAGCTGAAGAACTTTGGCATAGGACAGGACATCCAGCCCAAAAGGGACCTTACCCGCTTTGTAAAATGGCCCCGCTACATCCGGCTGCAGCGGCAAGGGGTTATTAACAGTCACCCAGCAGCTTAAGCATGCCCACAAGTACAGACCAGAGATGAAACAGGGCAAGAAGCAGAAGCTGTTGGCTTGGGCTGAGAAGAAAGCTGCTGGCAAAGGGGATGTGCCTACGAAGAGACCGCTGGTCCTTGGAGCAAGTGGTCAGCTGGCGGTGATTGCACATGTCGTGGATCCCATGGAGCTGGTTGTCTTCCTGCCCTTCCTGCTTGGCAAAATTAGTGTCCCAAGGTGGGAGTTCCTTACTGCATCATCAAGGGGAAGGTCAGGCTGGGACGTCTGGTTCACAGGAAGACATGCATCACTGTGCGTTCACACAGGTTAACTTGGAAGACAAAGGAGCTCTGGCTAAGCTGGTGAAAGCTATTAGAACCAACTACATTGACAGATATGTGGTCCATAGCCATATGGGGAGGCAATATCCTGGGTCCAAAACCCGTGGTTGTCATTGCCAAGCTGGAAAAGGCAAAGGCTAAATAAAGAACTCGCCACTAAAGTGGGATAAATGTACACTGTTGAGTTTCTGTACATAAAAATAATAAATTGTCCTCTTGGGCAGGGAGGAACCTTGCTGTAATAGTAATAATGTACTTCCGTGGTGCTCACTATTCTGAATGCTTTTCACATACTAATTCATTTACTCCCACAACTCAGTGGAGGGGGAATTATTCTCACTTTTCAGAAACACAGGCAAACAGACACAGAGAAGTTAAGTAACTTCCCTAAGATTACAAAGTAGTGGTAGAGCCTGGTTTTAAATCTGTGGAATCTGGCTTTACAATGTATGCTCTTGACCATGATCCTGTAATCCCTTTCCATGGATTTGTATAGACAAAGGAGCAAAATCCAAAATTCTTAGGAGTTCCATTAAATCTTAACTCCAAAGTTATTTCCTACCACTCCCTTCTATGAACCCTAGGTTTCAAATGGTAATATTTACTTTTGAACAAAAAAATTTCCTTTGTTCCCTTTCCTCCTGGCAAACTTTCATTCATTTCTCAAAAACCCAGTTCAAAAGGTCTTCTATTGAAGCCCTCCTCAATTCAGACTTCCTTGTTTGCACTCTTAAAACTTTGTGAGTTCTTATCACAGTGTTATAATTATTAGTTTGTATGGTTTTTTTCTCTCTAAGGCTAGGCTCATATCTTATTTGTTTATAAATAGGCTGCATGGCAAAATTAGAGCTGCCACATAAAAGACACTAAAATGTTTATTAAACGAACCAACACGGAGTTCAACTTGACTTCGGTACTCAAGATGCAAAGTGAAACTTTGGCATCCTATTAGTTTGTCACTATCTATTAACGCTCTGTGACCATTGATATATTTGTTTTGCTTAGCTGTATCACAGTTTCAAATTTCTGCTAGTCTCTGCTTGTTTTACTTTGTTCATATAACATTGTTTTGACACTTCTCATATAGCACAAAGTAAATTATGGTCTGCCTTTCTCACTTGTACTAAACAAGCCCCTTGAAGGGGGCCCAGGGGCTGGGATATCATAAAGGGCTAACAGCTCTTTGGCAAACTGAATTCAATTTCAATTGGTTTGATTGGGTTATGTGGGTATTCGAGTAACTCTTCATTTCTTTTCCTCTGACTGGCCTGATAATTTTGTTTCCAGTTTTTCATACCCCATAATTTTCAGTCCTATAACAATTCCAATATAGGGAAAGTAGGTTCGTGGGCTAAAAGCACAGAAAAGCAACTTTAGATGGAATATATTTTCATTTAAGTTTTCAGTTTTCCTATAGTATAAACTCTAACTAGCTTGGGTAATTTAAACTTGGCTTCATATTATTGTCCCTCAAATTAAAAAACAACAGATGTGGCTCAAGTGGTAGCGTGTTCGCCTGGCATGCGTGAGGCACTGGGTTTGATCCTCAGCACCACATAAAAATAAAATAGAGATATTGTGTCCACCTAAAAAAAAACTAAAAAATAAACATTAAAAAAACAATGGATATCCAATCCTTCAAATTTAAAGACAGTAATGCTAATGACACGATACCAAAATTTTTGGAAAGATTGGTATAAAATATTACACCATACCTGTAATTGGAATCTTCCAGTATGAAAATTTCGAGAAATAAAAACACACTGAGAATGAGATTTCATATTTGCCTTTGATGGTTTTTGCCTGAATCTCTCACAAGTTGCTTTAAATTTGGAATTTTGAAATATTTCTCTGAAAGATATTTTATAGAGAATATTATTAAATATGAAATAGGTCATAAGCCAATTAAATAATTATTTCTAATATTTACACTAAGAGTTTAAATATCAGAATAAATATATTATAGCATATTTATTTTTAAAAACAAACATCAATTTATATACTTTCTTCTAACATGTTAGATTTTATTATATCTATTTTATTCATAGAATATAAATTAAGCTAATTATAAAGGGTCAATATTTCTAGTTTGAGTATTAACCAGGAGTCACTTTTTTTCTGGTTGTGAGATAATTAGTTGACTTTAATGTTAATTAGCCTTTTTTATAAATTTGTCTTTCATAGCAAAGAAAATTAAATGAATTTCATTGGTCACTTTTGGTATTTAATAATATCTCTGGAAAAAAGTAAGAAGGAAACTGAATTGAAATTAATGACTTACAAAGGAAGAGTACCTGTGATCTTTTATTATCCATGCAACCGCAAGCAAATGAGGAAGGATTAAAAATAATGAAGTGGCAAGGAAAAACTCAGCTGATCAAAGGCAGATAGTTAAGTACAAAGGAATGTGGTTTCAAACAGTCATTATAAACTTAAGGATTTAAGAAATAATTCTTCCAGAAAATGGAATAATATTCAGAGCTAAAAAGAAAAGAACTGTCAAGTCATGAAAGGACATGGAAACTTAAATGCACATTTTAGAACAAAAGAGGCAAATCTGAAAAGGCTACATACTGCATGACATTCTGGAAAAGACAAAACTGTGTAGAGACAGTAAAAAAAAAATCAGTGGTTGCTGGAGGGAGGAAGGAAATAGTTGAAGCACAGAGGGTTCTTAGAGCAAAGAAAATGCTCTGTGATACTCTCAGATGCAAATGTCATTATACATTTGTGCAAATCCACAGAGTGCACAACACATAAGCAAACCTTAATGTAACCTACAGATGGGGAATGATAATGTATTGATAGAAGTTCCTAAATTGTTGCCCTCCCCAAATAATAATAATGCTGATTACCATTTCTTCTTTCAGAGGTACTAGAAAAATTCCAAAATTAATTCAAGAGATCATAGTATGTTACTTAAGGAGGTATTAACAATTAGGATTCATTCATAATAATTCAATTCACTTAACAAATATTTGAGTACTTATTATATGCCAGATGTGCTGGGTGTTAGTGGTAAGGGGGAAAAAAAGCCACAATCACTACCCTCATAGAATTGTCATTGCTCTTATGGAACTTAAATAGTAGTAAGGGAGACAGACAATTAAATAATCACAAGGAAATGAAAAATTACAACTGTGGAAAGTGCTATTGAGGAAAGCTACCTGGTGCTGTGTGATGTAACAAAGGGAATTATCCTGGATAGAGTGGTTGAGAAAGGCTTTCCTGAGGAGGAGAGGATTGAACAAGGGCATCTGAAGAAATAATAGTAGTAATAGGTAGAGTTTGGTGGAAGAGGGAAGATGTGAAAGTAAGAATATTCTAGACAGAGAAAACATCAGGTACCATGATCTAGCAGCCAGATTAAGAGAAACACATAAAGCAGGAGGAAAAGTAAGATGTGAATCTGGAGACTATGGGTAGCCAGAGCATGTAGGGTCTTAAAAGTCATGTTTTATTGTTATCCTAAAAGCAATAGGAAGTCCTTTAAAATATAATGGGGCTGGAGAAGAAGGAATCAGTGACTTGATTAGATTTGTATTTGGAAAAATTCTGGCTGAAGTGTAGAGATTGAATGAAGATAATATTGAAAGTATGAGGTTGGTTCTAACCTCTATTATAGTGGTCTATATGGGAGATAATGATAAATTGGGTGAGTAATGGTTGGGTGTAATGGAGAGAAATTAATAGGTGTGAGCAATTTTTTGAGGTAAAATAAAACTTGGTGATGGATTTAGTGTGGATAGGGCAGAGAGAGGGAGCTTTTTAGAAGAAAAACGATCTTTGGCTTCACATTTTCCTCCAGCTACTAACCATTAGTCAACTTCTCCTCACAAAAATAACTTCTTGAAACAGCTCTCTATATGCCAATTTTCTTACCTCTTGTTTTCTCCTCAAAGGAGAATTTCTGAACCCATCTCTCCACCAACACTTCATCAAAGTGACCAATGACCTCCATATTGCCAAATCTGAAAATCATTTATTTCTCCTCATCTTTCTCAACTTAAGCACCTTCAACATAACTGGCTGACACCTCCTTGTAACAATTTTTAATTTTGACTTTGTTGGCACCATACCTTTTTTTTCCCCCCTCAGATGTTGTTGATTCTTTCTACTCTTCTGCTAGATTTCATCATGGTAGGATGAAGTGTGTAGTACTAGTTATCTTTCTCTTTTGACAATCACTCCCTGGTTATTCTCATCAGGTTCTAGCCTTTAGATACTCTCTGTATATCAAATCTTCAACCTTGTCTTCTCTCCTGAAGTTTATGTGTATACTTAACTTCCTAGGTGACATTTCCACTTTGATGTCTAATACACTTTTCTATAGGCTTTCAAGCTTATATCCAAAACTGATCTCCTACTTTATCACCACTCCCCCAAATTGATCCTGTTATGATAATTTCCTCATCAAAGAAAATGGGAAAACCAATTACTCAGTTGCCCACCACAAAAACTTACACATCAGCATTAATTCTGTCATTTCACTTATCTTTCCTTACTTTATTTAATCTAGCAACACGTCCTGATTCTACCTGCAAAACACATTCCAGATCCAGCCCCTTCTTTTCATCTCCTTTATGTTAATATTAGTTCAAGACACCATCACCTCTCACATGGACTAAATAGCCTCCTAGGTTGTCTATCTGCTTTCATTCTTGCTTTCTTAAAATTCAGGCTTCACAGAGAAATAAGAAACATCTTGAAAAAATATAAACCAGAACTCTTGTACATTGATGTTGGGAGTACACATTCGCTTTGGAAAACTATTCAGCAGTTTCTTATAAACTTAATCATATGATCTAACAATTCTACTCTTAGGTATTTATCTAAGAGAATTGAAAATGTGTGTACAAAAAATTTATATAAGAATGTCCAAGGCAACCATCCCTGAAAGCTAAAACTTGGAAACAACTCCAATATCCACTAATAGAAGAATTTTTAAAAAAGTATATTTGTTCATACAATGGTATACTACTTATTATTAAAAACAACAGACTGTGGGGACTGGGGTTGTGGCTCAGTGGGAGAGCGCTTGCCTAGCATGTGTGAGGTACTGGGTTTGTTTCTCAGCACTGCATATAAATAAATAAAACAAAGGTCCATTGACAACTAAAAAATATTTTTAAAATAAAAAAATAAAAACAACAGACTTGATAAATGTAACAAATATATCAAAAAATATTTTGGTGAGTGAAAAAAGCAGACATAAAGAAGTTCATATGATTCTGCTTAAGTTCAAGAATAGGCAAAATTAAACTATGACAATAGAAAGCAGAATAATGGTTACCTCTGAGGTAGGGCATAGAAATTAATGCCTGGAAAAGCACATGATGGAACTTTTTAAGGTGTTAAAAGATTTTCATATTTTGCCTGGGGTGGTTACATAAATATTTATTGAAATTTATCACTGTGCATTTAAAACTTGTATGTTCCATTGTATGTTAATTATACCTCAACCTTAATTTCTTTTTTAAAGTATTTTTTTAGTTGTAATTGGATACATGTGAGGCATCTCCTGACCACTTTATTTATTTGTTCATTATCTGTCTTCTGCAGAGGTACTGTTAAGTCTATGTGACAGAAACTTTGTCTGACTTATGCACAGTTGTAACCTCAATTCCTAGACCAATGGCAGACAGCCAATAAATATTGGAAGAAAGAATAAGTCAATAATTTCTTGGTTTCTGATTTGTACATGTGGATGGGTACCACTTAGTCATTTGCTGAGACAGGGAATATTAGAAGAGTAGTATGTGGAAAAATCATGTTGCAATTTACATTTTTAAACATCAGACAATGCAAATACTGATGTGATTGAATAATTAGAAGCACCAGATTTTAGAATGAAAGGAAGGAGGTTTCAAATAATATATATATTTTTTCTGTTTCTGGCAAGACACTACTACTTCTGGACCATACCAGAGCATTCTGTCAGTTCTTTTCTTAGCTGTCTCCTAAAGAAAGAGTTTATTTCCCACTCAGCAATGTTTTTAACCTCAAATTGAAGTTGAAATTTTAAAAATTTCTAGCTTTATATTACAATCAGTCTCATGATTTCTTGAAAATAAAATAGGATTTATTATTCTTCAAAATTTTCATGCATAAGGGTTGCTGTCTTACTCTAGTTCTTTGGGCTACTTAAATAAATATATGTATGTATATATTTTTAGTGGTAGTGGGAACGATACCTTTTATTTATTTATTTTTATATGGTGCTGAGGACCAAACCCAGTGTTTCATATTTGCTAGGCAATTGCTCTACCACTGAGCTACAGCTACAGCCCCTGGGCTATTTAAAACATATAAAGCCTTCCCTCCCCAACCAAAGGTTCTACAACCAAATCCAAGATTACAAAATCAATACTGTTATAGTTACTTAAGTTTAATGCTATTTGAAAAAACCCTTCTTTGAATTTTTAAAAGAAAAACTATTCTAATAAAACTTACCTTCGTTTGCAAATTAGGAACCACAAAGCAGATGCCAAAGCAAAGAAACCAATTCCCAAACTAACAGCACCAGCAGCCAGAAAATAGGTTAAGTGGTTATAAAAACCTATACAAAAAAAATTATAAAAGATTATTTCATGTATATATCTTCATTCTCTAGATAAATTTAAATTATACAATCTTCCAAATAATATAACATAGTATCGTGTGAAGATTCTAGGACATTGGGAGACCTGAGTATTCGTCCTGTGTTATTCTAATAACTTGAAAACTCCAAGTTAGAAAATGGCATAGAGCCCCCTGCAGATTAGGTCCTAGGGCACATTACTTTGACCCTGCCAGGATTTGAAACCTAGATTTGTTTTTGTACAGCTGTCACCTCCTCCTCCTCCTCCTCCTCCTCCTTCTTCTTTTTCTGGTTTTCTCCCTTCCCAGTCTATCTGTAAATTTTTGTTATTCCTTTGGTATCAATACTGATAGACCTTTGACACAAGAAGGTTTAAATGAATTCTAGGATTCATATTATCTCTGGGCATGGTGGTAAATGCCTGTAATCTCAAAGATTCTGGCGCCTGAGGTAGGAGGATCACAAGTCTGAGGCCAGCCCGTAGCTTTTAAACTTTAAAAAAATTTAAAGAATTTTTTAAAGGATTGGGAATGTAGCTCAGGGATAAAGTGTCTCTGGATTCAATACCCAGTATAATACATATATTCATATTATTAATCACTATAAGGAGGCAAATTAAAAAAATAAAGGAATAAATATGAGGAATTTGTTTTATTTTTTAAATCAAAGTTGCCTTTTATTCATCCACCATAAACTACTGATTTTAAGAATGTATTTAATTGCTTGGATTTTAAGATTTAAGAAACCTTTAAAAATTTTATTTCCACTTTAAGGAACTGCAAAATATCTAGGTCAAAAACTAAATGAAGGCAATAGAAAATACTAGCATATCACAAATTTTGTAATTGTGAAATTTTATAATCTAGGAATTTTACAATATATAAATTTTATGATATAGGATTTACAGTTTTACTCCTTAATTTTACAAATGGCAAAATTGAGGCCCATGAAAGAGAATTAACTGAACTAAGATTGTACAGCAAATTAATCCTAGTGTTTTGGGTTTTTTCTACAATCCCTGCTATGAAACATCTTAATGCTGGTATATTAAAAATAATAAGGAATAATACTGAGGATGGTGATGCAAATCTGTAATCCTAGAGACTCGGGAGGCTGGAGGATTGCAAGTTCAAGGCTAGCCTCAGCAATTTAGCAAGGCCCTAAGCCATTTACTGAGACTCTGTCTCAAAAAATAAAAAGGGCTGGGGATGTTGCTCAGTGGGTAAGCACCTTGGATTCAATCCAATTAAATAAAGAAAGAAGAAAAAACAAAGTAGGTACTTACAGATAGTTTGGTTAAGTCTTCATTAAGGTTCTGAAACACACTACCTAAGCATAAAACAAACTGCAGAAACTTTCACAGAAGGCAATATAGAATCTAACTGAGGAATAGATGATTTGGGAAAGAGGGTTAAGAAGTATAAAACTAGGCTGGGGTTGTGGCTCAGCGGTAGAGCTCTCACCTAGCATGTGTGAGGCCCTGGGTTCGATCCTCAGCACCACATAAAATAAAGATATTGTGTCCATCTACAACTAAAAAGTAAATATTTTTTAAAAAAGAAGTATAAAACTAATTGAAGATCTTTTTATGGGAATATATAATCAAGTTTCACTAAGGATATGACATGACTTTTGTTTCCATATTTGTGTTATTTCCCAAGCAAATTCCAGTTTCATGATAGTATCTCTCAACCCTTGGTTTTCTTTGGATTCAGAACTGTCTACATTGAGGAATTAACAACATGAAAACACCATGAGCATGCTGGGCTCTGAGATCTGTTTGCAATCTGCAAGAAACAAGCAAACCCCAAAACCAAAGAAACAAGGCAAGACCTAGTCCAAACTATCCTCTGGCACAGTGAATGATCCATATGACCAATATCTCTGAGAGAAGAGAGCTCTGAGTCATCAACAAAAGTCCAATTTGAAACAGGACCAATGAGGAATCTTAGAAATGAAAATTTCAAAACTTTAAAATGGAGTAAACCCTTCTTTGAAAACAAAGAATAAATGAAATAAAATATAGTACTGAGAAATTTATCCAATTACACAAAGAAATGAAAATATGATAAAAAATTATGAGACATGGAAAAGCTCAAGAGTATATAACATAAAACCAAAAGGATTCTTTCTTTTCCCTCTCTCCCTCCCTTCCTTTCTTCCCTTCTCTGTCTCTCTCAAAAAAAAAAAAAAAAAAATTCCCAAACCCAAAAGAATGCCAGGCATGGTAATGTACACCTAAAATCCTTATGACTCCAAAGGCTGAAGGATTTGAAGTTTGAGGCCAGCCAGCCTCAATTTTGTCTCAAAAAAAAAAAAAAATGGAACCACCATTTGACCCAACTATCCCACTCCTCCGTCTATACCCACAGGACTTAAAAACAGCACACTTCAGGGACACAGCCACATCAATGTTTATAGCAGCACAATTCACAATAGCTGAACTGTGGAACCAACCTAGATGCCCATGAGTTGATGAATGGATAAGGAAAATGTGGTATATATATGCAATGGAGTACCATTCTGCATTAAAAGAGAATAAAATCATGGCATTTGCAGGTAAATGGATGGAGTTGGAGAATATAATGCTAAGTGAAGTCAGCCAATCCCAAAAAACCAAATGCTGAATGTTTTCTCTAATACAAAGATGATGATTCATAATGGGGTTGGGGCAGAGCCTAGGGGGATTAGTCAAACCCTAGATAGAGCAAAGGGGAGGGCAAAGAAGGGAGGGGCCACAGGGGTAGGAAATACAGTGGAATGAGATGGACATCATTACCCTAAGCACATGTATGATGACACAAATGGTGTGACTCTACTTTGTGTACAACCATATATGAAAAATTGTGCTCTATATGTATAATATGAATTGTAATACATTCTGCTATCATATATAACAAATTAGAGTTAAAAATCAATAAATTGCTTTCAATATAAAAAATAAATAAGGGCTGGGTTGTGCCTCAGTGGTAGAGCTCTTACCTACCATGCGTGAGGCACCGAGTTTGATCCTCAGCACCACATAAAAATAAAATAAAGATATTGTGTCTACCTATAACTAAAATATAAATATTTAAATGAATGAATGAATGAATGAATAGATAAAAATGGGCTAGGGCTGTAATTCAGTAGTAGAGCACCCCCGGATTCAATCCCCAGTACTGCAAAAACAAAAGCCAGGAGTTCCACTAACTTTGTTCTTTTTTATGGTGCTGGGAATCAAATCCAGGGCCTTGCACATGTCAGGCAAGAGCCCTACCACTGAGCTACACCCCCAGCCCAAAAGGAGTTTCAAAAGAGATTACAAAATAAACAGTACTCAGAAATAAAACACATAGTTTTTATGTTAACATTTTAATTTATATATTGTAAAACACACATTTTGTGTGTGCACTTCTTGACAAATACAGAGTGTTTAATCACACTGAAACCAAGCTACAAAGCACTTCCATTACTTCTCCTTCCCAAATTTCTTAATTCTGTCTCTGGGATCCCTCACTAAATTCTAGTAACCACTGATTATTTTTTATCTTTATAATTTGTGTTTTCCAGAATTTCATGTAAATGGAATAATAAGGCATGTAGCCTTTTGAGTCTGCTTTTCACTTAGCATAGTACATGTAAATTTCATCCATGTTGTTATATATGTCAATAGTTTGTTTCCTTGTATTGCTGACTAATATTTTATTTTATAGATGTTCCACAGTTTGCTTTTTCCTTGGATGAGAGACATTTGGGTTGTTTCCAGTTCAAGGAGTTAGGAATAAAATTATTACATACTTGCATATAGGTCTTTGTTTGAACATAAGTTTTTATTTCAATATTTTCATGCAGCAAGTATTTGTTAAACTTTATAAGAAATTGCCAAACTACTTTCTAGAGGGGTTGTGCCACCTTTCTTTCTCACCAGCCATTCCAATTGCTCTGTATTACCACCACACCACTTGGTACTACCAGTTTCATTTTAGCCATTCTAATAGATGTATAGATATTTCATTATGATTGCAATTTGCATTTCCTTAGTAAATAATGATGTTGAATATCTTTTAATGTGCTTATTTGCCATTCACATATCTTCTTCAGTAATGCATTTATATAAATCTTTGCTGAGTTTTGAGAATTCTTTATATATTCTAGGTACAAGTCCTTGGTAAGATACGTAATTTAGAAACATTTTCTCCCAAGCTATGACTTGCCTTTTCAATTCTCTCAATAGTGTCATTAAAAATCAAAACATTTTTCATTTTGGAGATGTCCAATTTACAATTTTGTTATTTTATGGATTATTCTTACAGGTCCTATTTAAGAACTCTTTGCCTAACACAGGTCACAAATATTTTCTTCTATATTTTCCTTTAAATGTTTATAGTAAATACTAGATACACCAGGGACTGTTCAAAGTGCTTTACATATATTAACTTGATTCTCACAACAACCCAATGAATTAAATACTGTCATTTCTTCACTGTGATGAGAAAATAGATAAATCAAAGGCATACAAATGCCAAGTGGGGGGAACGATATTAATTTAAATCGCTAAAGTCCTTCCTTATCTAGACTGATAGAGACCATGAATATTTTTAGACTTCATTAGCAAAACAGTTTAAGGATGTTTAAGAGTATCATAGAAGAGAATATTTAAGTAGCCAAAACACATGTGAAAACTGTGTTGATTATCAAGGAGGAGCAAATTAAACCACTATGTGATATTATGATGTCCAAAATGAAAAAGACAGAATATAATGTCCAAAATGAAAAAGACAGAATACATCAAAAATTGACAAGAAAAGAGTAAATTGAACTTTCACTGGCTGCTGGTAGCAAAGTAATTTAGTACAATACTTTGGGAAACTGTTTGGCAGTATCATTAAAACTAAATATATGCATATCCTATGATCCAGAAATTCAACTCTTAAGCATATACCTGACTGAAGAGCACAAACATTTTCACAAAAACATGTTTATAGCAGCACTATTTGAGATAACTCACGAATTGGAAACTTCCCAAATTTCAGCAGTAATTGAATGGATAAATTTAAAAAACTGAATTGACTAGAGAAAACAAAATGTCCCACACAAATGGGAAAGAATGGATTATAGCCATACAAGACAAAGTGGATAAATTTCAATAGACATAATGTTGGGCAAAAGAAGTCAGACACAGAGTTCAAACACAGACATCAAGGGTAGTTTTTGGGGTGTGGATATAAATAAATGTGTGTGTGTGTGTGTGTGTGTGTGTGTGTGTGTGTTTAGTGAAACTTCATCAAGCTTAACATTTATGGCTTATGAGTAAAATAAATCTATATGTTAGCATGAATAGAGCTGAAACACATAATGTTCAGTTAAAAAAGTTACGTTCCATAAATTTAAGTTCAATAATTTCAGCTAATACTGATCTAATTTATGAACATTGAAAGAAACACAAAATAATACTTTTTTTTACAATTAAATATAAGTATTAAAATACACCAAATTCATGATGTTAGTTGACTCTGACTATGGATGAATTATAGACTTTGTAATGTTTCATACCTTAAAAAAGTCAAAGCTTTAACACTCATAGACCACCCCCGCACTGGAAATGCTCATTTAGGAGGACATCCATGGGTGTCTGTTTTCCTTTTTTTCTTTTCATTTTTCTAATTTTTTCAAATATTTAAAAAATGTAAAAGTAATATAATCTCAATTTTGGAAGAAGAAGAAGAAAAAGGAGAAGTAGAAAAAGAGAAATATTTGTATTAAGAGAATAAACACTGGCTATTCTTGGAGTACAGGTTTATAGGTAAAAATTACCAGATTTTTCAGTATATTCAAAATATCTGTCATGGATATCTTAGAAAAATCAGGGTAAAAATCGAAACCTAACATGTAATTCCTGGCTCCTTTACTTAGTTGCAACAAGTCTCCTTGTAGTAAATACCTTCTCTATTTTTATCACTGTAGCCCGCTGGACTTTCATCTCCTAAAGATCTTTTCTTCCCTCTTAAAAATTCTTCAGCAGGGCAGAAAATAGGTATGATGAGCACACCTTCCAGTCTTTGGTTTAAAGGTACCATTGACTTATTTACATCTCAGGGGAATTCCAATGAGATCCAAGGATTCCAAAAGTTTCTAAATCACTCTTCCAAGAAAATGATAAATTATTTGCTAACACCTTCAACTCATACTTTCTCTCTATAATATAAAATGAGAAGGCTTGACTCAGTGATCACCAAGTTCTGCTCCCATTCTGAAGGTGTAGTAAATAGATTTAATTTAGTGACATATACAAACCTAGTATTTTTACTTCTTGACTCTGCCCTTAAATATTCTATCCAAAGTAATGATTCCTCACTTTCAGCCATCACTTTAACATGTCAATGTTTCTTTGTCTTTAATAATTATTATCATAGTCTCTACTTCTTGGCTTTTTATCTGTCCTCTTCCATTACAAAATGAGTTTCTTTCACCATGGCATTCTCAGAATGTAGAATACTGACTGGTTACTCAAAAAATGGTTGAAGTCAATGAATGAAAGATAGGCACTGGATGGTAGTATTAAGGAAATGAATAATATAAGGTTGTTTCCCTCAAGAAGTACATTTTTTTAGTAGGAAGGACATACATGTAAAAAACGTTTTTAAGTATTATAGATGTTATAATGAAAGAAACAAGTACAACATAAAGACATAGGAAAATCTATAAAGGGGAAAGTTTAAAGAAAAAAAATTAGGCTCTAATTAAACATTGCCTGAGAATGTTCTATTACCAAATTCTTGTCAAGAACTGGTGATTCAACAGTAAATGATTGATACATGATCATGGAGCTTCAATCTGGAAGGTGAAAAGACATTTAAAAAGATGTATTCCCTAAAATATTCCAAGTGCTATGTTAGTGATCTGTTCACAATGCTACAACACAAGGATTCTGATCTAGTGCAGGAACAGTTTCCTAGAGATGACCCCTGAGCTGAATCTGACATAATTTAAGAAATAGCTAACCAAAGGGATGTAGTCTTAAGCCTGGTTATGACTTTTTCATCTCAAAATAGATAAAACTCACCCTCTACTTCATAATTGATCATTTTCTTATATACAGCCAAAATTCTTTTTTTTTTGGGGGGGGGGGCGGGTTTAACCAGGGATTAAACTCTGTCACTGAGCCACATCCTCAGCCCTATTTTGGATTTTATTTAGAGATAGAGTCTCTCTGAGTTGCTTAGTGCCTTTGCTTTTGCTGAGGCTGGCTTTGAACTTGCAATCCCCCTACCTCAGCCTCCCTAGCTGCTGGGATTATAGGTGTGTGCCACTCATCTGGCCTACAGCCAAAAATTCTTTTTTAAAAATTCCTATTTTCCTGTAACTTCTATTTCCAAGGTGATTAAAAACTTCATGAATACTAAATTACAAGGTGTGTAATAAAAATTTGCATGCTTTTTCTTTTATTTCTGTCTATGCCTTTACTGCCCTTGGGGGTCCCTCTTCCATAGTCTATCTATTATATATCTGTTACATATTTATATGTTATATATCCATCTATTAAACCAGAATTACAAGGAATTGTACTAGTATTTCAGGTAATTTTTTTTGCAATGCTCCCAGAATGGTAAACACTGCTTTTTTTTTTTTTGAGTAATTACAAACTACCTTTTTTTAAAATTACGAACTACCTCTTTGTTTTATTCTTTTGAAGTTTTGCTAGATTTCAGTCTCAAACTTATACTATTTACAAATGGTTTACTCCAATTTAAGAAATATCTGTAAAGGGGCTGGGGTTGTGGCTCAGAGGCAGAGCACTCGCCTACCATGCGTGAGGCGCTGGGTTCGATCCTCAGCACCACATAAAAATAAAATAAAGATATTAAAAAAAGAAATATCTGTAGAATACCAGTAGTTCACTCTGGATGACACTGTGCAGAACACCAAAAAGACAGGGAATAGGAAGTTTTAAAAATCTGTTTAAATAAAAATTCTCACCCTAAGTTTTAAAATTCTATAATAAAATATAAGAAGAGTTGATACACAAGCAGTACATAAAGTTGTCCGTACCGATCTTTTTTTATAGTGTGTGTCTGCTTTGATTGGATATAAGCTTAACTGGACCTGTGAGCTTGAAATTTTTACCCATTATGTTGATCAAATTTTAATGTTCTCCCTTGAATAATGGGAATCATACTGTCTCAAAAAATTACAGTAGGAAATAAGAAAATGTTTCAAGAAATTAATAATAATAATAAACAGAAAGTCCTTTTAAATTTAAAATAAATATAGCAGGTCACAAAGCAAGATTTATAAAATTAATATTATATATATCAATTCTCTGACAATAATAAAATTCATTTCTAAATTAATAATCTAAAATATAGCCTAAGAAAAGCTTCCATGCTTCTGGAAATTTAAAATCGCACTGAAAATGGCTCATATTAAATAATAAATCTATGGGAATTATAAAACAATAAAACTAGCTGATAATAAAAGTACTATGTATAAGTGTTTGCAACAACACACCTATAACAAAATCTAAGGGACATGTATAACTCTAAATGCATATGTTAGAAAAGAAGATTGAAAAACAATGAATTTAGCATCTAAATTGCAAATTGAAAAAGACCAAATAATAATAATAATAATAATAAACCCAAATAACATAGAGGAAGGAAATAATAAAAAAACAGAAGTTAATGAAATAAAAATTATGATTCTGTTGAAGACTTCCGAAATTGACCAATCTCTAGTCAGGTTAACCAAATTAAAATATTTGAAGGCATAAGTTAATAATACTAAAAATGAAGAAAAGCATAATTACAGACATAAATAAAATACTTTCAATAAATTTATGTTAATATATTTTAAGACTTATATAAAATAATGTATACCTAAAAAATGACTTACAAAAAGTGACTCAAGAGGTAATAGAAACCTAAATGAATATGTATCCATTAAATTGAATTAGCAGTTACTAACTTTCCCCCAAAGAAAACAGCAGGGACTAGTAGCTTTACAATTTCTATTGTATACCCATTTTCAAGTATTTCTTATCTTATACAAGCTCTTCCAGAGAACAGAAAGAGATTTCTAGCTGTTTGTCCAAATACATTTTCCTCTTCTTCCCAGGCAAAAAGCTAGACTACGTGTCTCAGCTTCCCACACCATTAGGTGAAGCCATGTGACTGAGTTCTAACCAATGGAATTTGAGTGGAAGTGATGTCACAAAAACCTCTCATTTTACTTTTCTCCACGTTCTCTCTTCCAGACTGAAATAGAGATGATCCCTAGGAAAACCTTGGAAGCCAACATATCACCATCCTAAGTCAACTGAATCTAATTAACACTATAGAAAATTCAATCCAACAACAGAAGAATGCATATTCTTTTCAAGTGTATGTGGTACATTCTCTAATAGTTGAAAATCATTGAAACTTCTAAATAATACATTTCTAAATAATCCATGAGCAAAAAGAGAAAGTCTCAAATTAAAATAGAAAATATTTTCAACAAATAAAATGAAAACAATATATCAAGATTTATGGAATGCCACTCTCTAAAACAGTACTTAAGAGGTTTAATCTACCATTTTTTTCATAAAAGGGGCAATCCTCTATCTTTATAAATTATAGAATGTGGGAAGCCCCTCTGAATGAACACACCTTCCAGTCTTGATGTAGGGGGCTCTGACCAATTACTACATTTTGTAGTGACTTGGGCGTTGCCTCAGCTTGGATAGCAAAATATGACTTCAGGTGTATCCACTGGGGTTGAGTTACACTCACCTGCTTCCTTGTAATCCTAACCCTTGTAATCCTGCCCTTTTTTGGATAGAACTTTCTAAGAAATGCATCCCCCACCCCCCAAATAAAAGCCTATTTCCAAACATGCTTCCCTCTTTCTGGTCAGCCTCTTGTGACTTTCTCTTGCTCTCTCTTTTGGGGGGCTGGAGGCCGAGAGCCGGGGAAAGCCATCTTGAAGCTTGTGTAAAGGTAATTTGTGTCTGTGTTTTATTTTGCATCATCCCAAATTCACACAAGTGACCTTAGTTCAGCCACCTGCATTGGACGGGGGCGGTAACAGAACCAACAGTATACGACATATTTCATGAAAAAGTCATTGCACTTTTATTCTCAATGAATTATAGACCTAGATGTTGTAATATAATGGCTTATATGGACTATGAAAGAGGTTTTAGAAATAATTATTTCTGATGACTTCTACAGTGAAGTATATAGATATTTAACCAGCTCTTTTTCCTGTTCTTCACTGCAGGTACTTTTTAACTTTCTCCTTTTTTGCTCAAGGCCAAGGCAGGAGGATCACAGTTTTGAGGCCAGCCTCAGCAGATTAGTGAGACCCTGTTTCAAAGTAAAAAATAAAAAGGTCTGGATGTAGCTCAGTGATAAAGCACCCCTAAGTTCAATCTTCAGTATCAACAAAAAAAAAAAAAAAAGAAAGAAAAGACTCAGGTCAGAGCTGGTATACCCACAGAAAGCCATGCCTGACTCTTCACAGTCATTATAAGGACAACTCCATACTGTCAGAATCCACTGAGCTGAGCAGTTAGATTTGAGCACTCAGCTGGGTGTGGTGGTGAATGCCTGATTCCCAGCTACCTGGGAGGATGAGGAGAATTACTTGAGCCCAAGAATATGAGACCAGACTGGTCAACACAGCCAGACCCTGTCTTTTGAAAAGATAATTAAATAAGTAAAATAAAAACTAGATGGCCAGAAGATATAGGCAACTCCTTTATAATAGATGCTATAACAATAATTCTTTACCCCCCAAAAAGAGTTCAGCCAAAATAACCTGTATACCATGTTCAATTACAAGTTCAGTTACAGATAGTAACTATAATAAATACTCTGGTACAAAAGAAAATGTAGTTGTCATTCAATACTCTTGGGACTCATCTTGGGATTTTTGAAGATAGGCTAGATCAGGTGAAAAGGCAAGAGATTTTTCAAGTCAGAAGTTCTGAGTTGAATTCTGATTTACCTCTTGACATTACCTCAAGTTGTTGGCAAAGTATGAACTAATGAATAAAAAAAATTAAAAGGTATAAATAGATATTAAATATATTATTCATCTGATGAAATGAATAATAACAATAATTCTCAAAATAGATCATCTACTTTATTACCTACCTACCATATTTTTATACCATATAATTTTTATACCATATAAAATACACTGATTTTATGTGTATAAAATGATTTTGTATCATAATTAGATAGCCGTCTTGAACTTATTGCTATCTAGCTCTTTGAAGTCAGTGCAGACAAATGAAATTTGAACTAATATAGATATGAGAAGCAAATATTACTTGTATTAAGTGACCGTACCAGAAAGTATACCTAAGTGATATTAGTATTTCTAAATAAATTACTTTAATAAATTATACTTCAATATTATCTGTTAATTTTTAATGAACAAGGATCTAATAAAGAAATGATTATATAGGGAGTAATTATCAAACATTAGCTATTTTATCTACTACATAATCCTGTGTCCCTTCTATAAGAATTTTATGAGAAATTCCTTTTAGAATTTAATATCAAGAAACATTTTTGTCAAACTGTCAACAGTGTATTTTTTGTCAGATAACAAGAATTATAAGTCCAGTGTTTCTTTGTTTTGTATACCAGAAAGTTTAAATATAAAATTCATGCTTGATTATGGAAATTAATTTAATTCAAATTTTAAAATGATGACTTTCCCATTTCCACTTTTAGTTTTCATCTTTTATATAATCTGTTCTATTATATGACTTTTACTGAAAATTACTTTAAACCACAAAAGTTGGCAAGATAAACAAACATACATACAGTCAAGTTCCAGTGAAATTTTAAAATTTGCCATAACTTTGTTAGTACTTCAAGGGCCCCTACTAGTGTCTCTTGACACTTTGAAATTTTATTCTTAAATAAATTTCCTTGCTGCCTGGTATATAGTAGAGATTTAACTGTAAAGATTCATACTCCCATTTGAGAAATCACTACACAATGGAAGTGGAATTCATTCATTCAACAAATATTTACTGAACACCTACTATGTACCAATACTAATCTAGAAGCCAATAATACGGTGGTAAATAAGACAAGTGTTCAAGGGCTCATATTTTAGTACAAGGGGACGAATGAATAAACACACAAGCAAATAAGATTCTTTTAGAAATTGATAAAAGTCTTGAAGAAATTATATAATGCCCAGGAGGGAGTTGCAAAGAATGCCTCAAGAGAATATGTATTCTAAAGAAGATAAAAATAAAATTAAGAAAGAAAGAAAAAGAATATGTATTCTCATACTGTCATCCTCTGAAAGATCTGAATTATCCATTTAAGAAGGACACTGCCTATATTTGTCACTGACTCAATCAGTTGGGGAGTTGTTGTTGTTGTTGTTTTTTTTTTACAGTGCCAGGAAGCCCTTTTTAAGTATATAGAAGTAAATATGGTACCACTGGAGAGCAGAAGTTTGTTGACCTTCACCAAAAGAGGCTTTAATTTTATCTCTCAAGTCTCCCCTGAATTTACCTGGGATCTCTTCACTACAACCTTTCTTCCAAAAGGTGAGTGGGTCATAGATAAATACACATCACTGTCTACATAAATACTTACGTATTAGTTTCTCTGACTTCAGTTAGGAAGACATTGAAGTCATTGTTGGCTTTTCTTTGTTGCAGTTGTAGCATCCTCTGGTGGGCATTAATTTATCGTATACCTGCCGAGAAAAACTCTTATAGCTTTTGGCACAAAAATAAAAAATATACAGCACTTTATTGTTTGTATTAATAAAATAAAGCATCATGTGGTGCTTGTTGTCAAGTTTACATAAAACCCTGAGGAAAAAAATGTAGTAAGTATAAATAATATTGTTACTATTAATAATAAATGTAAATGTTGTGAGGGCCTTGCTAAATTGCTGAGGCTGGGCTTGAGCTTGCAATCCTCTCGTCTCAGCCTCTTTATCCACTGGGATTACAAACATGCATCACCACACTCAGCATCATTGTCCACTTTTTTTCATTTTTAATTTTTTTTAGTTGTTGATGGACCTTTATTTTTATTTATTTATATGTGGTGCTGAGAATCAAATCCAGTGCTTCACACATGCTAGGCAAGTGCTCTACCACTGAGCTACAACCCAACCCTCAATGTCCACTTTAATGGACTGTTTCTGTCATGAACTGTTACCAATTTGACTGAACTCCAACTTCCACAACACTGTGAAATATTCTCTGTAACTACGGCTATTTTCCCCTCCATTCCTCTTTAATCCTATTAAGAGACTCTGAAATGAAGTAAGCAATTTTGTTATTTAAGCTCATTGCACATTCTGAAATGATCAAATATATGACTAGAAGTTATTTTAACCCCCTAAAAGTCAGCAAGAGATCAAGAGGGAAAAAATAGTTTGTTCCATAACAAACTGAAATTTTATTCCACAGCAAACTGAAACTTGCACATCTTAGAGAATTAGATAGATACAACTAGTAAGACTAGTTAATATACGCGATCTTATAGACATGTCTGTATGCATTAAAATGTTATATATAATTCTATTCACTTAATACTTCATAAGTAAAAGCAAAAGATTTCCTTATATTTAGTTTTTTAATAAATACTATCTTGACCTTGTTTTGAGGTCCTGGCTAGAGAATGGTCAATTCCCTTTCTGGAGCAGCCTGTTAAGTTCATAATTTCAAACGTCTCCCTTACTGGGAATCCCACACTCCGGCCACTAATACTACCAAATCTAATTATCCCAGGATCTGATACCAAACAACCAGGGGATCTACAACCTTACAATGAGATTCCTTTTCTATTATGCTTACTTAAGATCTTATTTAAAGGAGATCCTACTAAATAAAGTACAGTCAAACATGACTGATAGAAGTTTGGGGCAGAGATGGCGCCTGGCACTTTGCCAGGAGGAGTGGTTTGTGAAGTAACACCATCAAGCCATTAAGATGATGAGGATTCCTTGACTGACTGCTGTATCAAGATGATGTTAATTAAGTTAAGCTGTGTGTAATTAGTTGGGTATATGTACCTCTGCTGTCCCGCAGAGAAGTGGCTCCTGCTACTTTGGGTGCCCACTACTTTGAGTTCTCAGTTCCTGCTAATTCACTCGCAATAAAGTAATTCCTGCTTCAACCTTCTTGAAGTTTGTCAC